ATTGATTTAAACTGCCAATCATACGAAAGTCTTCCTATGACTATACATTGTATAAAAAAGTTTAAATTTATATCTCGTGATCCAGTGATCAGAATCGAAAGATCTTTATATTATTATCAATCCATTTCATCAAGATGAATCGGATCATTTAATTCTGATCATCGAATTACGAGACACTTCAAACTCGTCTATTCATAAAAATACCCTCTTTTTATGTAATTAAATTTAATAACGGCCGTGGTTTAAAAAGGTTACAGCTATAATAGTTGTTACAAAAAAAATGAAAGTTTTAAAACGATGTGACTCAATGTTTCGGGTTTCTTTTGCATCTCCTGCACCTCCAATTCGGAACTAGTTAAAAATAATTAGACAGATATATTGGAGTAAATTGATGATCATCAAGATGCGGATCGAGTAAATCTGTTCTATTACTTTCGCTACGCTCCAGATAATTCTTAAAGTCATAATGATCTTAAAGCTTGTCGGCTTTATTTAAAAACGAATAATAGGTGAGTTTTTTTTTTTTTTCTTAAAAAAAAAAAAGCCATATTTATGGAAGTTCGAAGCTTTATATCGAAAAAAATCAGATTTCAAGGCAACTTTCATTGTGGGAGATCTCACATGCACAAATATGTTATAATTTAAGTACATATTAAGCGAACTACGTAAAAAGTTTACGCCCAATTCAGAAATACATTAGTAAATTATTGAAACAGTTCAACAAATTATTTTAATAAAAAAAAAATAATAATAATGTATGATATTTAAATATAAAAAGTCAGCACATTTTTTTTTTTTTTTACCGTTAACTCAAAAACTATTCAACAGCAATGACGGAAACTAGTGTAATCAATTCTTCAAATAACAATAAAACTCTCTGGTATGAACCATTTTTGGATCGTGGTATTATTCCCGATTTTATTATGCGTCTTGGTGTGAGAAATTTACTACAAGATAGATTGAAAGAAATTAATCTTGACGATGTACAAAAGAATAAGCAAAGAAAAACATTATACATTAATCAACTAAAAGAAAGACCTATTGCTGAGCACACAAATAAAGCTAACGAACAACATTATGAGGTTTGTTAATCTTTTTTCTCATTTTATTTTTGTGATAATAATAAATAACATTGTATTTTCTAAAAAAAAACTAAAAAAAAAAACTTGCATTCGTACATCTTTAGTACATAATCGTTTTTTTTTCATTCGATCAAAAATAATATTAACAATTCAACAGAAACCGTATATCTACATTGGAAAAGTTATTTTCA